CTGTCTGTCTCTCTCTCTCTCTCTCTCTCTTTCTCTCTCTCTCTCTCTTTCTATCTCTCTCTCTCTCTTTCTATCTCTCTCTCTCTCTCTCTCTCTCTCTCTCTCTCTCTCTCTCTCTCTCTCTCTCTCTCTCTCTCTCTCTCCCTCCCTCCCTCCCTCCCTCCCTCCCTCCCTCTCCCTCAGCCGGGGCTACAGGAGCGGTCGCTCTCCGCCGTGCTCCGATCCTTCTACTCGTCGCTCTTCACCCTTGTCATGCCGGACTTCGAGAGGCTCCGCCGCCCGGGCACGAGAGCGGACGCGAGGAGATCGACCGCCATGCTCGTCGCCGAGGCACACGAGACGGTGCACCGCCTCGTGTCCAGGGAGGACAGCGGCTACGCCGACCGGTCGTTCTTGCTGCACACCCCGGAGCAGGTGGGCCACGGGGCAGGGTCTGAGCTTCGTTCTCGCCGCAGGGTGGAACGTTCTTTTTTTAGGAAGGACCTGCGATTATTGAATGCACCTGATTGCTCTCATGCGCGCCAAACACCCAATCTCACATCGCGCGTGTGCTGTCGTACGGTTGTTTCTCCTTGTCTCTACTCTGCCCCGCCCGCCCTTGCTCGTCCGTTTCGTGTCCGCGTGTGTACAAGGTGCGCATGCTGCTTGATTGTGACTAGCTTATAACGCTCACGACGAAGATTCGGGAAGCCGGGAGCCCGCCTAGTGGCGGTGGCAGAAGTGGTAGCGGTACATTCTGGTGCCGGCGGACTTATGAAATAATAGTGTTTTTTTCTGCCGGGGGATTGTACGTGTGATATCCGACAACACTGGCTCGATAGTCGTGGTTGTTGATGTGCTCTACTTCATAGTCGTTTCGCACTGTGCCTAGGATCTACGTAGTCTAGACCCAACCAACCGTGATAAACTCAATCAATATTACCCTTCGGCTACGTATTGTCCTTGGGCGAGGGCGGAGGTCGTACCGCCGGTTGCTCTCGTGTCGCGTCGAACAACCTGCCGTATTGCGCTTAATATAAAGTATGAAGGTCGGGATAGAACATCGGCGAAGCTTTGGAGTGGCTGGTCCTTTGTTTGTTGGCTCCATGTGAAGACTAAGACCAACACCCTGTTTGGATTGGGTTTTTGATCGGCATTTCCATCCTTCTCGAAGGTCGATCGGTTGCCTCTGGCCTGATACGGCTTCGCGCTGCCATCACACGTTTTGGCAATCCTTCACCACACCTTGTTTTTGGCGTGACACATTTCGGTAGACGGATTCGTGTTCGTAGTTCAGTGTTGCGGTTGAACGGTTGATGGCTGGCGTTATGGATCCCGTGGGCAAAGGCCGGACCTGGGTTTGTTGCTGCACCATCTGTTCAGACAGACTTGGCAATCTCGTGTTCTTCATTGTCGCACCGCAAAGATGCCCTGCCTCGGCCACAGAATTTCCCTGGCGCACAAGCACATCACAATGGTCGGCGTTACCCCCGTGTTGTCGATGGCGATGGCGTTGCTAGTGTGAGCACACAGTATCTGTGAGTCGCTTCCTAAAAGACAATTAAACCACTGATGTTTGACTGCCGTTGGTTGGCGTTCGCCCAGGGAGGTTTTCATTCTTTATTTGAAGGACGAGGTGCAGTCTTTGTCCCTTACCTTTGGTCCTTGTGCAACACTTGTGCAACAGTGGACGGCGATATCGTGCCGGAAATTTGTGCCCCGATTTGCGCGTGTTTCGAAAAAAGAAAGGCATCTTGAAACGAATTGAGTGGGATGATAACGTGCGTAGAAACATCTCGCGAGCAGCGGCCGAACTAGCAAGCGCCGGATTCGCGCTGTGAAGAAAGTTATGGCCCTACACCGTCACCGTCTCATAAGGCACTTCATCCCAAAACACCCGCCACATCTCAACAGCGACTGCGAACCCGTTGGAAAAAACATTCAGATTTGGAAATATCTCCTTCAGAACTACTTTTTGCTACTGTGGCGGATACATTCCTGAGGGCTCCGGAAGAAAACATCTAAGCTACAGAACAACAGAACCGTGATCAGGAATCATCGACAACCATCGCCCCATAACGCCAATCTTCCAAATTTTACCGCAGCACGACATGGTCTGCTCAAAGACCACGCATTCCAATTCGCTGCACGTGAACAAATATTTTCCGTGCACAACAATTTGTATAATTTGTTGTCAGGCCAAAACTTTGAACGAATTCGAGTCAGACGGGATGCCAGCCATCTTGCATAGCTAAGGATTTTACACTTCAAACCGGCCAAAAGAGGTTCGAGCAACAAACTTTAACTTTCACACCCTTCCAACCATGCTGCGAAAAATTCCCCCTTTGGCCGGGCAAAAGAAGTTCGAGCAACAAAAGGTATACATGATGCAAGTAATACTGCGGCCGGCCATGATTCCCACGACAAAAGCGGTTCTTCCACAACAAATTACAAACCCTCTACAAGTAATTCGGAGCCATTGAATGATTCACAATAAATCAAGACGGACGGGAAGAAAGAAGCAATCTGGGATTTAGACTACCTGACAATGTGGAACGAATAGTTTTTTCTCGCGAGAAACAAACAAAAAAAACAACTGCCGACAGGGACTGATGAGAGGAGGAGGGATCGGTTCTACTTTGAAGTCGTCCTCATCGTTTCGTATAGTTCGCAGGAAAGAAAAGGCCCAGACAGCGGTTTCGGCCGATGTCTCAAATCAACGTCATATTTCAAAATCAGCGTACATGTATTCCTAGATAAGTCTAACTCCGTTGATATGTTCGAAAATCAACTGTTTGGGGTGTCGGCACGTTTATTATGTTATCACGCTCGCGGTCTCTTGTCGAGAGCATGTTTCACAAAGGAGTGACTCAAGTTTGTTGATTAACGACTAAGTGACAGACGCGGGCAGGCAAGTAGTAGAGCCTAGCGCGTCAAGTCCATCACACCCATCATCATGTATATATATCTGCGTACCCCCCCGGAGATCTCGGAGATTCGTATCCTGCCGAGTACACTCATAAACGGCCCCCTACATTGTACGATCTACGCTATCCTCTGTACATATCGCCAGGTAAAACGCCAAAAAATCTAAAAACCGTTTATCTATCGAATCCACAAACCATCTCAACTCCCAGATCTATCAAATATGCATATTTCAAGTTACTACTCCTCCTTATAACTATGGAACTTCACTAAAGAGTCTTCACAATCACCCCTCTCGAGAAAATGCCATCGCCATAATATTCTCAATTAGCCAAAAACAAAGAATTATCCTTAAATACTCAGCAAATATCAACACTACATCACAGCCACGCCATAAAGACTCTGGACGGATAACTCTGGCAAAACGCGTCAATTACAAATTACTTCGAACAAAATCCTCGCGCAAAACTATGTTTCAACCCATTGACCAATTCAAAAAAGCTTCGGAAGCACATAGGCCTCAACCATGTCTTACCAAAATAGGCCAAATCCTTCCTCCAATACATGGTTCAAAGCAACCATCAGTACCAAATACGGCAAAAATAGACAGGTTAAACACCCGGCGCCAATGAAGACACCAGAGGAAACGTTCGCCAATTATGCCGTTTCTCAAACATCGAGACAGGGATTTCTTAACGGACCCCCTGCTGCATTATCTCCCAAACCATAGAATCTTAACAGCCCCTCTGCTTATTAATTATCTCCCAACGCTTCACAGCCCCTCTGCAACATTATCTCCCAAAAGATTAAATCTTCACAGCTCCCCTGCTGCAATATCTCCCAAAACATCAAAGCTTTACGGCCCCCCTTCAGCATATCTCCGACCATGGAACTCAATCGGTCCTACAGCAACAAATGCAAGAAAAGACTCTCGATTCCTAACAACGAGAAATCAAACAAACATCATGAAGTTTCTTCCGAACTCCGCAGATAATACGCGGAATCGCGAACAAACAAGAAACTACTGTGATTTCTCCTCATTTTCCGCAGGTAAAACGCTGGAAACATCAACAACGTGAACAACCAAACCTGAACGTCCGCTAGAACTGCGGCGAAGATCATGGCATCTCAGCGTCATATTCATGCCCCCCCATGATTTTCGATAACAGTGCCAGCAGTCACCCAACAACATCAACTGTGCACCATTCGACGCAGTGAAGTCTTCGACTACGCTAACAATCAATATCCTCAACATATGAAAAACGTAATGTATACCACAGAACATAAACACCACGTTCGTGCGCATCGCAACACAACCATCTACGTCGACGCAGTTATCGAACTCGTGGTTCTCAAATAAATGATACAACGCTTGAAAAGGGAAAAATACTAGTTAGAACCTATATTAATAGTATCCACAGCGAGCTGGACATGGCAGGAGACAGGGCAATTGCCGGTGTCTTTCGAAATTTTGGGAAACGGAGACAAGGGACCTTGGTGCTGATGAAAGTTTGGACAAACTCTTTCGTGCACGGACCCATGAACGGGAATACTATATGTAGCTGACAGCTATCACACGAAGGTACAGTCGCCTTCCTCGAACCCCACTACAAAGTGCCGTTAAAATTGGACGCAGCCTGGGGCAGTTACGGGGTTGTCATTTTCGGTTTGGAACTAAAGTCAAACCTACTGACGGAATTGTTGGCGCTCCAGACTATAATACTCCAAACAAATGAACGATCTTCCTCGGATCAAACCTCACTTTTCTACAAGGTCAGCTCGTGCCCGTGTAGCTAACTCCCCGACGTTCCGGGGCACCTGACCGGCTGTTGTCCGGCTCTGGCATGGTCCCGGCGTTCCACTTGTCTGTCTGCATTGCCTGTGCCTGTTTGATGATCGCCAGAACGGGCCGAGATACCCCTCACCAGACCCACGTTGGGCATTCGTGTGCTTGCGGTGTTGCGATGCGCAGCGAGTCGGAAAATGTGTTCATGTGCTTCCAATCCCTTTCCGATGTTCTTTTCGATCTGCTGCCTCCCTCATACTCGTCCGGTTCTTCTTCTGCTCAACGTCGGACTCAATCGAAAAACCGCACGGGTCGCAGTGACTGTCGATCTCGTCCTACTCCCTCTCCCCCCACCTCCCTCCTCCTTCCCATCACCCAATGAGCGTAGGGTTGTCCTCTCTCCTGGTGTGTACGTGGTCGGCGAAAGGGTTTTCCTGTTCCCAGTGTGCCACTCCTTGCTCGCCCGGGCTTTGGCCTATCACGTTGCCGCTGTTGCGGAACCTTGGCCACCGGTCTTCTTGCAGATGTTGGCCTCCGCGACGTCCCGCTCGCAGGGCCAGCGCCAGCACGAGCGTCTCCACCACCACCACAACCACCATAACCACGTGGGCGACGACAAGGACAGCCTCGAACACCCCCTGGCTACTCGACCGCTCCTTCGACACGTCCACCTTCAGCAAGAGCGCGAGGTACATCGACGCGACAACGGCCACGTGCCCCATGCGGTTGATCCACGTGTCCCACCTGGACGCGTACGGGGCCAAGCCCTCCGAGATCAGCACGAAGATGAAAGCGAGTGCCAGCGTTATCGCGATCTGAGCCGAAGAGTTCGGGTAGATGAACACGACCACCCCAGCCAGCAGAACACGTCGCGCGCACTCGACCACCTCGTAGTAGAACACGGACGGCTTGTATGGCTTCCACAGGTCGGAGGTGGATGTGGCGCGAGAACGTAGGTCTTGACCGGCCGCCTCCCTCCCCTTCAGCACGTCGCGGTCTCTGAAAAGTAGGAAGCTGTAGAGTGCAGGGATGCCGGCCGTGAACAGCAATACCATGAAGCCTGCGTACACCTCGAAACCCTTGTGCTTGGAGGAGTCGCACTCGATGCGGTAGTCCGCAAGCAGGTACGTCTTGCCGTCCTCTAGTGTCTCGCACGCGAAAGTCCTGAACAGCGTAGCGCTTACACTCGAGTAGACGAAGAACGTCAGCAGCAGCATGAACACATGCTTGTGCCGCACGTTTTCCAGGGTCTCGGTAGCTCCGCGGTGGATGCGAACGGCGGCGGCGTAGGTGCAAGCCAGGAGAAGCGCCGCGAATATCGGGCCAACGGTGGCCATTAGCAGTCGGTCGTGGAAGTCGACGTCGACAACGCAGCCGGCGGAGAGGATCCAGCTGAGGTCGAAGTTGAACACTTCCAGGCCGTTCAGGAAGTTTTGGTACACGTGTGGGTACGTGACGTTCGCCACGTTGGTGAACTGGGCAGTTCAAGCACGGCAGGTGCAGAAATGACTGGTGGTGCAGAACGGAACAGGGGGGGGGCGTACTCCTACGTTGTACATGCCTTAGCGGTTAGACCATTGACCACGTATCCTCGAGAGGACGGAGCGTTGTTCCCACAGGACCAATCACCGATGGCCAATCGTTCCTTCCTACTTTGCCAAAGATGAATAAAAAATGTGGTACCTATCGATGTCACTTGCCGCCTATTCAACCCACTTCCTATGCCCCAGTACAGCTAGCGTTTCTCCTGGCTATCCCACGACTCAAACATCTCCCTGCATCTTCCCTCTACATTTTCCAGCTCAGTCATGTACACTTCCCTCTCTTTCCTGTACAACCGACATTCCGCAACTACATGAACACGGTCTTGCACTCGGAACTGAACCGAGGGGACGGGGCATTTTCTCTTCGTTCCGGGGGGGGGCAGAATTCTGGCCGCAAAGCCCAGCCTAAGGACGGCAATTCCGCGGTTGCAACGACGTCATTCAATCCTGATCGCGAATGCCGACCGACCTGATGTGCACCCTCACCTGTGTCATGATCTGCCAGGCCACAACGACGATCTTCACGGATTGGAGTGGAATGTACCGCCCCACGCGCTCGACAATCCCTCTTCCCTTTCCGTCCTCCTCCCCAGAAGTCACGTACGATACAACAGCGACGAGAGCGACGAGGCCCACTACGGCAAGAGCAGCTGCGAGCGCGATACCTCCGGCACTGTCGGAGCAGGTACGGCAGGTGAAGCCCAACTGTGCTGAGTACCCCTCGCTGCAAACGGCACAATCTGTTTCGAAAGCGACCCGAGAGACAGCACAAACCGAGCGTCCGGATGGTATTGTTAATGTTGGAATCAGGGACACGGTGTCCAACAACTCCCGACTACACCGGACAGCTTATGAGCCCATGAAAGTGTCCAAGTGAGGTTCGTTGAAGCATACAAATAGATGTGCCGTTGGTTCTTGAAGGTTACCCGCATTCTGCTTTGGACGCATCACCGTGCGACAAGGGTGGCGTAGTCGTTTCAAACAAGCAACGGGCCGAACGAAATGCTCACAGCTCTTGAGTATACTTGAACCATAACCTACAGAGCGCTCGGGGCGCGGACGAGCCGCAGGTCGAGAGTCTATGCCTTCATGAAAACGCGTACATACTGTCCTACGCCGAGAAATAACTAGCCTACCTCAACTTGTGGCGTTTGGGACGTGAGTTCAGTACCAGACTCCGTCGCGAGCATTGGAATCTGACAATTGTACTTAGTTCTTGTACACGCAACCAGTTCACGTCGACTTCATCCCCGACGAGAGAATGAGACGGTACAATCCTCCTCGCTATCAGTGTTGGCGCTTGCAACGTGCAAAGGAAGATGAAGGCTCAAAGAGCTCCTGTGTGGACTTCCCACAGATAGTTGTGCCGTTGGTTCTTGGAGGTTAGCCTCATTCTGCTTTGGACGCATCACCGTGCGACAAGGGTGGCGTAGTCGTTTCAAACAAGCAACGGGCCGAACGAAATGCTCACAGCTCTTGAGTATGCTTGAACCATAACCTACAGCGCACTCGGGGCGCGGACGAGCCACAGGTCGAGATTCTACGCCTTCATGAAAACGCGTACGTACTGTCCGACGCTGAGATAGACAGAGCCTACCTCAACTTGTGGCGTTTGGGACGTGAGTTCAGTACCAGACTCAGTCGCGAGCACTGGAATTTGCCTTACAATTGTACTTAATTCTTGTACACGCAACCAGTTCAAGTTCGACTTCATCCCCGACGAGAGAATGAGACGGTACAATCCTCCTCGCTATCAGTATTGACGCTTGCAACGTACAAAAAAAGATGAAGGCTCAAAGAGCTATTCTGTGGACTGCAACCCCGGTCTGATGCGTCCTGGAACGTACCGAAAAGTATAGAAACTGACGTCCAGAACAAAGAGGACGACACACATACTGCTATAGCTTATTCGTCGGGAGGTGACCAAGCCATTCTAATATACATGTTTCTGCCTCTCACATGGCCCTTCGTAGCCCTCCAGGCAGTAGCCAGATGTTCCCGTGACCCCTCCAAGACCGGAGTCGGCGTGGTAGCAGGCGAGAACTTCTGTGCCAGACGTGGTGGCGCGCCAATACCCGGCCTGGATTGATAGCGTCTCAAGGGTGTCTCTCCCATCGGAGCTTGTGGAATGCTCGAGGAGGTCCGTACATGTCGGAACCAGGAGAGGGTCGGCGAAGGCGCATCCAACGCACGTAGTCTGGCATCCGTTGCAGACGGCCTCGAAGAGATCTGCCGACTGGAAACAACCGGTGCAGCATGCGAGAAATCCGAACGCCGGGTGTTTGAGGTTCGCGTTGAACGTTACCGGGGGAAAAATGGCACCTCTTGGAACACCACGAACTGACCGAGGTTACGGCAAGGCTGCCAGCTTCCGTTTTGCCATGTTACGTCGCGCCACACGGTGCTAGGCTGCTGTTGAATGTGGTTGGTCAAGTGAGCTCACAGCTAGTACATGGCTTGGTGTACGACACCGACACCCGCACATCTGGGTTTCACCCACCCATCAAAGCAGAACGATTCGAACACCAGAAACCAATCGTGGTGGTGCGGAAAGGCGTCCTACGAGAGGTGTTTGAGCTTGGCGCACATGACTAGAGACTCGAGGGTGTTCATGTACGGTGGGAGTTTGACCAGAACCCATGCAGAACGGCCCTCAACTCAGTTAGAGCCCAGAATATTTTGGCACAAAGCTACTGGAGGCCGGTTGTTCACGAGGCAAACTACAGTATTTATAGAATCGGGCATAACGGGAGACGAACACATCTACCGATCGGGTAGCAGGCTGCTCACCGCGTTATAGCCCAGGAATGTTCCCGAGGGGCAGTCGAACCCGTTTGCGCTGAAACTGATGTTTTCCGTGCTTTCAACCGTGCCGATGTTGGATACAGCTGCCCCTCCTTCGTCATCGGAGAAGTTCTCCACGAACGAACAACTGTTGATGGAAGCCGTACCCGCTAGTCTTAACGCCCCCCCCGTCCCCGCCGCGTTGTCCTCGAACGTGGTGTCCACAAAGTAGTCGTGCCCGGCCGCGCTATCGATCGCCCCGCCGGTCGCTGTCGCTCGGTTGCCGAGGAACCAACACCGCTCGAAGGTTGTCGGGTTTGGCGGCTCGATGTCGGCGACGCCTTTCGAGTTTCCGGAACCGAACACGGCCACCGCACCTCCTACCTGGGCCGAGTTGGACGTGAAGGTGGTGTTGGCGAACGCAGGGCCGGCACCAGCGCCAGACACGAATACCGCTCCCCCCGCGACTGCGGCAGCGTTCTCTGTGAAGCGGACGCTCGCCGCCGGGTCCACGACCAAGTCACACACCCCGAGAAGATTCACGGCACCCCCGTTCCCTCCGCACGCATTGTTGAAGAATGATGTGGTCCCGTTGATCAGGATGGCGGAGTCTTCGAGGTTGAATTTGTCGTCGAACTCAGGGGATACAATAGCACCACCGTCGAGGAAGGCATGATTCGATGTGAAATTGGTATCGCCGGTCCAGCTTGCGGTAGACCCGTTCCGAAGGAAAATGGCGCCTCCGCTCAACGCAGTGTTGTTGATGAACTCCGTCTCTCTAGTCCAAGACACTTCAGACTCGTCGATGTACACACCACCAAACGTGCGAGCGGAATTCCCAAGGAACCTCATCGGTCCACTCCACGACCCAACGGATCTATCCATGTGAATCGCACTGCCGTACGCAGCGTCGTTGCCGATGAACTGTGTCATTCCTCCGCCCCAAACCGCATTGCAGTCATAAAACATCTTGATGCCACCGCCTGCGGCTCCGTCGAAGTCGCTGCCCGGGTCTTCGACCCAGTTGTACGATACCGTGGTGTTTCCCTCCCAGGAGGCCGTCGAGTAAAACATCGCTATACCCCCCCCGTAGAGTAGGGCCGAATTGTTGAAAATCTCCGTCTCCCCAACCCACGAAGCAGTGGAGTCCAACAAGTAGACAGCACCACCACTTCCAGTGCCGTTTAATTCCGGGTTGCCACTGGCGTGGTTATTCTCGAAGAGCGATTTGCCGCCAAACGACAACGTAGACAGGGTAGCGTAAAGACCACCACCGTCGGGAGCTGAATTGCCGGAAAACGTGCTGGTCGTGTTACCTTCGCAAGATAGAGTGCTCCCGAGCATTACCACAGCTCCTCCTAATTCTGCGGCTTGGTTTCCGTCGAACACGGTGGTTGTCTCCCCACCCCACGAAGCGTTTGAATCGTCGTAAACGAACACGGCACCCCCCCAGAGCCCAGCACTGTTCGAGTAGAACCCCGTTTGGGCGCTCCATGACAAGCTGCAGGCGGTGCTGGCGCTCAACGCGCCGCCGGTCACCGCGGCGCTGTTGTAGTAGAAGTCTGTGGAGGCGTCCCACGATACGCTGGAGAATTTTACTACGCTCAGGGCACCACCAAAAGCTCCAGCGGTGTTACCGGCGAAGACGGCGCTCTCGCTCCACGACGCGCTCGATTCGTGCTGCACCCTCATCGCGCCACCGCGGATGGCAGCCGTGTTGCTGAACCACCAACCGCCGCATGAGACTGCCGAACCCCCCGTCACGTACATGGCGCCGCCGTCGATTCCTGCCTCGTTTTCGGTGAAGGTAGTCCCATCAGCGCACGACACAAGAGATCCGTCCGACACGAACACGGCTCCGCCGTTACCCGAAGCGACGTTCCCGATGAAGTTTGTTTGGTTGAACGTTAAGGTGGACCCCCCGGCGGCGATCGCCGCTCCGGAGATGCTAGCGCCGTGGCTAATGTTGATTCCGCTCACGTGCAGGGCAGCGTTGACGACGGTAAACAGCCTCGTTGCGGAGTTGCCATCCAAAGCGGCGTTCGAGCCTGCAGCCCCGGTTATCGTTAGAACCGTCCCATCGGTGACGAAGATTGTCTCGTTGACGACAACAGTTCCTACCCATTCCACCTCAAACGACCCCCCGGAGCAGTTGATGGCTAACGCCAGCGCCAGCGCCTGCTCAGAGTCGCCCACCACCCAGTTCCACTCCGAGTCAGCGGGGCAAGGCGTGGTGGTGATCGGCGGTGCCTCGCACTCGTACAACTCTTCGGGAGCGCTAGGATCAACGCAATCGAGCTCGCCACCCTGGCAGGAAGAACCGGTGCAGCTACACAAACAGCACTTGGTGGTTAGTACAGGTGCCAATACGAAGAGGGCATGGATGGAGGGAGAGAACGGCGGGGAGGAGCGGGAGGGAGGGAAGGAGGGTTCGTCAGCCACAGCGGCATCTTACGGGACCTAGCTGGAGAGGGAGTACCTCATAGGTCGCCCGCTGCTTGTGGAGAGTGAGCATCTATCATACCAGGGCAGGCTCCCCCGTGGCCATGGCCGATACACGAAAGGTCTACCGTGTTCGCCTTCAGCCGCCGCAAGATGAAACATTTTCTGGCGTTTCGTGTGTTGGAGAGCACCACCTTCAAAAATGAAGATCTATTCAAGCACTTCACGGCAAGCTCACATCGCCCCCGTCGTAGCCACATGAAGCGATGTTGTTCTCAGGGTTGCACGCCCCGTCGCCGATCTTGAACCAGTCCCCCGTGCAATCGGGGAACTCGGCGACAAGAGCGGGATCATAGCAAGCCGGGTCGCGACAGCCGAAGATCGAAAAGCTCCCACATTCGAATAGCGGTCCATCGACGCAGGAGCATTCGCAGCACTAGCAAGGAGGGAGGGTGGGGCGAGGGTGTGTGTCAAAGGGAGTGAGAGAGGGAGGAGGGGAGTTAGTCGCCGTATAATACGTAGGCAACAAACGTAGGGTGGGCGGGCAAAGGGAAAGACGAGAAGGGGGAGGGCGTTGGTAAACATTTCGTCGCACCAGACCAGAGTGGAGAAGACATACTTTAGCTCGAAAGCTACTCGCAAGCGTTGTGGACCGTTGCGGGAACCGGAAACGTGTCTATGTTGGTTTTCAGCCGCCGCCGAAGACACGTCACATCATTTCGCGTTGTAGTGTACATCATCGATTCGTGCGCATCAATGCACGACCCAGTTCCATAGGAGAAACGAAAGAAACCCAAGACACGCTCACATCGCCCCCATCGTATCCGCACGCAGCGCTGTTGTTCTCCTCGTTGCACATTCCGTCGCCTTGCATATCCTCATCGCAGACCGCATCCGAAGAGGTGACTGCTGGGTCGCCACATTCTGGGTACACGCAGTCGAAGTCGCTATCGGCGCAGAGGTGGAAAGGGCCGTCGTTGCATGTGCACGAGCAGCAATCGCCCCCGTCGTAGCCGCACGAAGCGACGTTGAGGACTGCGTCACAGTTACCGTTGCCGATGTCGGTGACGTTTCCGCCGGTGCAGCTGTCGTACTGGGCAATGCCACTACGAAGGAGACAAAGTATGGTGAGCGCCGAAGCAGCGAAGCCAATAGTGGGGCTGCTGAGTCGCCTCATGCTTTCTCACGCCCCCCAACTTCTTTCTGGTGATGTCACCACCACAGTATCTCGGTACGGCACCCTGAAGCAAACGCAACGATCGGACATGGCACGAAGTTGTCGGTTGCCGCGGTGTGTTGGTTTGAGACGCCCAGCTGGTGGGGGTGGGACGTAGTCAGGTTTCTCCCCGTTCCCTTCAGGCGATCGACTCTGCATCCCGTTCGAGAAAGGGCCAAGGCGCCCACCTCAAGCACACCGACTTCAGGGCTTACGAGCTTTGTCCATGTTTACACTCTCCACAAAAGTGTTTTGGTTTTCAGTCATCCCCTGCCTGTTCGTTCTTCGATTTACCCAATTTTTTTCTCCGCAAGTCAACGTTACACCCACCGACATTTCAACCGCTCTCTTTTGTCTATGCTTGACCCACGATTGTACGAAATGCACCCAATGTTGAGTCATGCTACGGTCGGGGGGTGCTGTTTTGGGGTGAATTCTTGCGTTTTGGCAGTAACCGTGCAGTCCTGTTCCGGCAACCTTACGGCGGGGTAGGAAGCGGTCAAAGGGCTGGTCAACCTCTACGTTGCTTCCCAGATAAACGCTTTACCGCTACGGGTGTACCAAAGCTTGTTGCAACCAACAGGATCAAGTAGAATGTGTCTCCCTGCCCCGAAGTACAAGATAAGGTGACCCGCGTACAATATCGTCACTCTTTTGCCCACTTTCGGGCCTCGAATGCCAGCCTCCACGTCACCGCATCTACGTCACCGCACGGCAGAACATCGGGAAGTCTCGGAACGTCTCCGGCACGTATACACCGCATCCTCTACAACTAAATACTTAAGACTAAAGGCACAGACCGCGGTGAGATAATGAGGCTCGTCGAGTACAGGGAGCTGCCGCTCGAAAGCGTGGCGGCTAGCTGCACGATTCAGTGCCCCCCCTGGCTGGTTCGGGGGTGGGTGCTGGAAGCGCCGCCGGAGCCCAAAGAAATGTGCATTTATGCTTTTGAATGGCCTTTCATTGGGTAAAAAATACGTGGGAAAAATGAAAAAACGACACCATTTCGAACAGCAAGTTATTTAATGTTGCAATGTTCTGACCGCCAGTGTTTCAAACTCAGCGGTATAAGACACATGTGAATAGCGCATCCAAGGTATCTCGGGCAAGAACATTATTTTGGGGCAAATTCCTTACAAATTTTCTTGGCCGATTTTTTTTCGGCTTCGGTGGGCCTCGCTGCGCGTGCTCTCGAGCACGCCTTCGGCGAGGGTGATCGGCCAGGTCATGTTTCCTGGGGATATCAGTCGCGCGGCTGCCGCGCAGACCAGTCTCCGCTACGATTACCGCGTGGCGTGGCATACGATCACAGCGCCATTAGTGCGGGTTTATCTCTGTTAGATGCGTACAGTTCAACAGGGGAGGGAATGCAACCAACCGTAGGATCGTGGGCGTTGACCGAGCCGATCGACGGCTACGGCGAGTCGGTGGCACACCAGCAGGGTGCTAGGGTGCGGATCCCAGCGTTCGCAGCGTTCACTGAGATGAGGATTGATGCAACAATCCTCCAGTACTGCAGTAGTTCCGGACCAGTCGACAACTGAATTTCGAGGGCAGGCGCGGAATCTCTTTTTCTCCACCCTCCCGAACGATAACTTAGTATTAAGTTGGTTCCTGCAGAGGTTCTTCTGACAATATAGACACACGCAGCAGCACCGGGCAATGCAAGGTTTTCGGAGTCGGCCTACGTTGTCTTCAATAACTCACAAAATAACAAAAAAACAATCAAATACTCATCATCGGTTGACTCCTCGTAATTTACTGCTCTCTTTTTTCATAATATTAATATTTCTAACTGGCCAAGAAGATAGGAGGACAACAAGAAACAAACAACGCAATGTATTGTCACGTAAGAAATTGTAACAAAAGAAATTTTCTCACATCGCCACGGCAATAAAGTGTTAGGGTGTTGAACCTCGCCCAAAAATATGCAGATAGGTGATTCTTAAGAACGGGTCGGCGCTGCTGTCCCCACTTGCGTCTAGTCTAGATATTGCGTCCCCCAAAAACTGAAAAATAACGAACACCCACAACTTGCATAAAACAAAACAGACCACATCCACCCAACCAACTGAATACTCCGTGAGCCATTTCATGAACCCCGTTTTTGTATTTAAGCACAGCAGCAGCGTATGTAGTGTATATCAATTGAATGCAAAACTCGGTAGGATAAATATTTACTACAGTAGGCTTGTCTCGCCTGTTCTTCAGCTGGCATCACTGGTCCTTGAGTGTATAGGCTTCAACAGACTCGAAATGTCCCCGGCATCCAGGAGGTGCTGTGTCAGTCATCACTGCTTGTTGCATGGAGACTTCAACACGTCCTTCGGGGTATCCCATCTGGGGGATTTGAGTAATGATGAGCCGCGGAGCGCGAAGCGGGACGTTTTTTCCCTCTACCCCCAAGAGGGAACAAAGGCTCTAAATATCTAAATATCGGGCTCTTCCAACCAACAACGCGATGGAGGGGCCTCTCGGTATTTTCCTCCTGATTATCAACCGCCCGAAAATATTCGCCTTTGTTCGACCAGGACGAGGTCTATAAACATCAAGCACCGATTTACGATCTGCTGGCTTGTGAAAGCTACCTAGCTATTTAGGGCGCTCTTCGTCACACCAGTTTGGCCGCGCCGACAACAGATGGCCGTGCTTGACAGGCATTTGCCCCCAAAATCGTAGGTACTTTGACCCCTTTCTCCGGGAGCTACTCGATGAAGCTAAATCTAAAACTAAAGCAATCAATCGTAAGATCGTCAACAAAACACGCAACACCGCGCTGGAGGTGTTGAAGTACACTGGGAGGTGTTGTTCAACTGCAGCACACTGAACTGACATGAAAATGATGGATCAACACTGGGTCGATGAGGTCGAAGACGGGTACGATGAATACCTCGTCGACCGAGCGCACGCACTCGTGTCGGCTCTGTCTGGTCTGGGAAGATAATCGATGTTTTCGAAATTGACTATTTTTAAATGCATGATGAGAAGAATGTTGCGGTTTCGTCCCAACTTTGAGTCTCTGCGTATGCCCGTATGCCTTCGTGCCTGGAACAAGCGTGTCTCTCGGCAAAGTAGGGTTCCACTGTTAAAGTACTTGGAACACGGCTGGGTGTGGGTGGTGTTAGAAACGAACGTTGGTTAATAGTAGAGTGTCTTACGTTAGCACCGTTGAAGAGGGAAAGAGACGGCTGGACCCTATTCGCGACCAAAACCAGAAATCAGCACACACCGCAGGAGGAACGTGGGGCACGAAAAGAAAACGAAAAAGAAGAAAAGGCCCCGGTGTTTACCCCCCTCCTGTGTGACCCCGGATGGTTGTAGTTGTACGAAAAAATACACTGAAAAGTGTAGCACTCTACATACACCGAAACACGTGTAGTTCACGTCTCACCACGAAAAATGGGGGGACTGTCGCCATCACAAACACTTGTACTGCAATGCCCCCGAAGTGATGTTGTGTCGTCGGAAGCCGGTATGTATCTGTTTGGTGTTGCGTTAGTAGTTGCCTATTTCGTTGTTGTTCCGGTAGACTGGAGCGTTGGAGGGGACCTGTCTATCTGCCGTTTTTGTTTCGTTGTCTTTCTCTCTCTTTGTTTTTTTCTTTTTCTCTTTACTTTATTTTTTTCTTTTCCGTTCGTTCTCTCATCCCTTTGACCGGAGTCGTCGATCGTCTTTATCCCGATTATAGTTTTCCTTGCTGTTGATCTTTTTCGGTTGGATAACCATTCGCGCCTTGGAGGAATTTTCTGGTGTCCATTTATATTTCTTTATTTTTTAGAAAGGTGTACTCCCCCCCCTATGCGGGGCAGTTGGCCTGTGACCACGGAAGGCGTCAGCGTCAGTTGGACCAGTACGGACATTACAAGGTACTGAGTGGAGACCGGAACGGTTTCTAATGTGAAGACAAGAACAACAACAACTTCGTAGGACGCAAATTACACAAAAAAAAACGAGGCATTATTTCAAGGGTCAGTGCGAAAAACAAATCCGGACATATAGGCCATGAATCGTCGAAAAATAACCATGAGGTTGCAGTAGATGGTTATAGTAAACGTGCCTCACTCTCGTTACCCGTTCTACATCATCTACCTCCTCGTCATCGATGCCGGCCCACACTCATCACCCAGCCGTGCTGCTACAGGAACACACGGAAACAAACAGGCTAGTTTGCGTACAACAAGTAGTACGAAGAAAGTACAGTATTTACAGTACAGCACAGCAGTAGTAGGAGTATTAAATAGTTATATCGATCAAAAAGCTCGAAACCAGTCCATTCAATTGGAACAGGTCATTGACCAGCTTTCACATTGAACCACCGGCCTTGCCAACTTGCCCTTGCCGCCTCCTTTATCTACGCCGCTGCACAACAGGGAACATAGTCTCGCGAATCTACTCGTAGCCTTGGTCTTCTTGTAGGGTTACGTTTGACTTGACCAATCGGCCACACGGACGGGCGACTGGTGGGCTATATCGGCTGCCCCTGGGGTATGTATGCACGCGAAGATTGCGATGATGACCCTGTAGTGTGCGCGGGGTGTCTGCCATCTCTCGGGGGTCTCCACAGCTCCACAGAGAGAGCCAGCAGCGCCAGCGGTGATGCACACCATGCGAGAACGGGACGCCGAAGCACCGACGCCTCGGCAGAGAACCCGGGGATACAAGGGTATTACCCCCCCGCCCCGAAGCGCCGATGCCTCGGCGGAAAACCCGGGGATGCATGGGTATATGTCCCCGCCCTCCCCCCCAAATGACCCCGATTTTCGAGTAGTAGGCCTATGTGTCATGAGTTTTTTACCGCACAGACCCTTGCATTATTTACTAATATTCCGATTTCAAGAATGTCCAAAGGAGTACTAACCTAAACAAGTAAGTCAGAACACACTTTATTGTACTCGTGTTACGGTATTTGGACCGAAGTGGAGAAAATCACTGGCCATCAAATTGTTCGCGGACGCGGCGGA